TATACCCTAAGTTCACAAGAATTTACCCATAGAAATCCATGTCTTTTCAGCCCTAAATCTAGATTATCTTTTTGGGAATCAAAAGAGCTTTCCAATGGTCCAAGTTTTACCTCATTTTGATATATCACTTCAAAGTTACCGTTCACTTAATGAGGCAAGCTAAAGCAGGATTATTTTGTTGCGCAACTCGTGATTTAGCTTCGAAAGTAATCGAAATAGAGATTTAGCTTCGATACAGATCACGTTTTTTTTAAAAAATGTAATGAGAGCCTTGTAATGAAGTAAGTGTGTCTTTTTCTATTATTATTATAAAATATGGGATCTCCTACTATCTTCTAATGTCAAAATTCTCTATCATTCTCTATCCATGTGTGTTATTTTGTAATCTCCTACTGCCTTCTAATGTCAAAATCTCTGTCACTCTCTATCCATGTGTGTGCTTGATGTTTAGACTTGCAAAATTTCCCTTGACAATACAATATGCTTTGAATGCAGGAAAAAATAAAAAATAAAAAAATTTGAAGTACATGGTGTCCACGATCAAGAAGACTTGCTATTTTTGGAAAGTAATCGGAATAGAGATTTAGCTTTGATACGTATCACGTTTCTAATAGCTCTAGGATTTGTTGCCTTTTTTTAAAATATAATTGGTAAAGAGTTTTACATTCAAATAGGACTACAACACAAATGACACCATGACACAGATAAAATCCTAGTTTGAACTATAATAATGAAATCAAAATCGCTTTTCAAAGTTAACCATGAGATATTGTTTGTATCTTTTGTAAACAATTTCCCTTGTGGAATACGAGTGTCTATTAATTGACCTTAGTTCTGATTCTGGGTCTAAGCTTCAATAGTCAATACATTGACCTCATATCGACGGAACCCTTCTTCAGGTCTTATAGACCTTTGATCTCAATTGCTTGTTGAGGTTCTAAGTTGCTAAGGCACAAGATGTCATTGATGTATGAAATTTGATTCTAAAGGTGTTAAAACTCTATGCTTAGAGCTCCAAATCTCGATTGCCATCTGAGTCGAACTGGATTCCGAATTGATTCAATTCTTGATTCCAAGCTGGTATGAATCTCGATTCCAAAACGTCACAAACTCGATTCCAAAGATGTAGGAATCTCGATTCTATATATGAAGGAATCTCGATTCCATATAGGTTAGAAACTCGATTCCAAAGGGGTCAGAATCTCGATTCCATGTAGGGATTTCAATTCCATTTCGGTCGAATCTCATTTCGTATGAACTAGGAATCCCATTTCCCGTGATTCCCCTTGTACAGGTGTTGATACTAAAAATAGAAATCTTCTAGCTTACCATGATTCCTAAAACGATTCAAAATCTATGGCATTTCCAAGAACTTTGGTATAACCAACATAGTCTTATTTTGGCATGCCTTAGTATTTATTGGATTGAGGGTGACCATTGGAAAGCTCTTCAGTTCATTACAAGATAATCTAGGTCCTTGTGGCAAGAGTTACACCAACATTCAGATGGGGTACTTTGACCATCATGTTAGGTGGGCTTAGGATGATCTTCCTATAGGTACGCTTGCGTATGTTTTTTGACCAATTTTGAACCAACCATATAAGGGAAAAAACAAATAATGCTTTGGAAAATCAAGGAAAGAAATACTTATTTGAAAGATTGGCCTTGTCCACCATTGGGCTTTTCTGATTTTAGATGGACTATTCCATTCCTTGTGGTGGCAAAATCCTCATGGTTTACAAAACTTGTTGATTCCTATTGTGGGGGTGTGATGCCACCATGTGGCTAGACCTGATATGGCTGCTTTAGGATGACTATGATATGGTGCCGCCATGAGGCAATTTTAATGCCTGAATTTTGGATAATTTTAGTGCTTGCATTTGATGTTACCATCATGGGTCTGGTTGTGATATACCCACCTTGTGTGGTAATCAAACCTGATGCTTGAATTTCAAGTGTGGTCAATATTTGATTTTTATGGGGAAAAATGTGATTTTATTATCTTGAAGTAACCATGTGGGTTTAATATAGAATCATCCAGACTACTCTGGATTCTGGATGTCTCCCATGTAGTTAGCAATTTAGACCTATGCAACTCGGCAGTGCTGCTAGTTTTATGACCTCATGATAAGTTTTGAAGGGTTGGCTTCATAATTAGTTGTTGGAAAGCTGGAGTGGACGGGCAATTAGTTTTACCTCATGCACTCTTAAAGGAAGACCCAAATGGAGCCTTGAAAATTCTTTTCAAATTATTTTTAAAAAGGGGTAATATCAATTAAGGGTTGAAACTCCTTACAAAATCACTAAAGAGGTTAAAAGATCATAAATTATATTTGAGGATCTACTTTTAAATTTCTATTGCCGTCGTATATATCCTCAAAAAAATGATAAAGATTTCCGAGATTGCCCTTGATGGTGTTGGGAAGCCCGAATAATTAGGGGCACTTTGGTAATTTTATCCCTTATTATTCCTCATTTTAAATACCGAACAAACTGTTTGTTATTTCTAACTTGGAACAAGTAGAGGTACTTTTGTCATTCCATTAAGGCTTCTTTGGGGGTAAAATTATTAATGTACCCCTAGTTGTACTGGCTTCCCAAAACCGAATAGGGGCACTCTGTGGTATTTTTAATTTGTTTTGTGAGGACTTACTTGATTGAAATAGAAATTTAAAAGCAAACCCTCAAATGTAAATTGTGATCTTTGGACCCCTTCAGGGATTTTGTAAGGCGTTTAACCCCTTAATTGATATTTTCCCTTTTAAAAATTAAGATTAGTTTGCGTCTGAAGCCTTTCAAAAATTCTTTTGGACTAACGGGCCTTACAATTTATCTGGCTTTGACTCCTTTGGTGAGAAATGGAATGTTGGTTAAGTGTGTTTTTCTGTCACTGTATTATGTTTGGGAGTCCTTGTCACACTTCTGATGTTGCAAGATGAGAGATCCTTGACTGCTTCGTATCTTTTGGAGACTTGAACTACCGGCCTTGCTATCCATTCCGAGGAACTTGGGTTCTCTTTGGCTTCTAGTTTAGGAGCATGAGATGGTCCAACTGGCTTCTTTGGAGTTGTCTTCGAGTCCCTTGATCGTCATCTATCGCCTACCATCTGCTTGGTGGTTTGGATGGTTTTTTTGTTTTTGATACTTTTGGTGGTTTGGATGGTTGCGGTCCCATATGTTTACGGAGGTTGGCCAGCATTGTAGGCAAGTGGCCTAGTGCCTATAACTAGAGAACTTGACTGCCTTTTTCTGGTTTTCACGAGTTGTTGGGATGTTCAATTGGTTTAGGTTTTCACCAGTCCCAAATTTTCCCCAACCTTTTTTGCCTTTCGTATTGCTAACGCATCAGGTTTTTCCATTTTTACACGAAGCTCCCTTCGGGATTGCACTACTCGCCGTTTCAAACATTTATAGGAGTGTGCCCTTTCTTGTTTTCACTATGTCCGTCTTTTATTCTTTCCTTTTCCTTTACTTGTTTCTTGGATCGCCCCTCAGGGGTTGTAGATTTTGTGGTACATTGCATTGATGGGGATGCTTTCTTGGCTGGACTTGGCAGCAATGATTGGGTGGACCTTTCTTCCCACATAAGGTCCATCTTAATTAGGACTGAGCTTTCGTAGTGGGTGAGCTGTTGCAATTGGGCAGATTATCCAAGGTACTAGGGCATCGACTTCTAATTGGTGGGGGATGACCACCACCTTTTTCTCCTTAGCATTTTTTGTTATTTTCGTGGGAAATAATTTGAGCTAGGCTGCTGCCCCAGAGTAGCCATCTTCTTTGTGTCTCTCCTTCATTGTCCTTTTTCTTTTACTTTGCTCATTATCGAAAGATTTTCTGTAACATGGTCAGAGAGCTTTCTGAGTGACTCTTTTGCTGGAGGATTCTGGGTACTCCCTTCTCTGAGTATATATGTCTCCAGCATTGGGCTTTGCCTTTGTAAGGTCCGATCCATTAACTGTAATACTTGATTATCTGGTTCTTCTTTAGTTCTTTTATTAATGGTGGGTGCGGCGACTGCTGCTTGTGATGGATGTAGATGTAGATGGGGTGAACATTTGCATCTTTTATGATGTCCACCATAAGAGATGAACGATTTAACATTCTACCCATTCGCAACTGTTCAGTGCTCCAAAAATTTCCCGGGCGGTGCCCAGGCGCCAGGAGGGGTCTAGGCCATCAAGTGCAGGTACCTAGGGTCCCTAGGCGGTTTGTCGAGGCAGGCATCAAAGGACTACCTGCCTAGTTGGTCAGCGCAGGACTGGGCGATGCGTAGCCCCTCAAGCCTGCCTAGGCACTAGGTGGACCGCTTTTTGAATCAATGCAACTATTCCAACTCAAACACATGCATTTTTATGGGTATTTTGAAATTTAATCAAAAGATGTAGATAAGGTGATTCTCAATGAGTAATTTGATACATTTCCTTTTCTTTTTCTCCCTTAACAATATACTGTTTTTATGGGTTGCTTATTAAGCCAGGCAGGGTTATTTCATCAATAAGGCTGTTAAGGTGTCCAAACGGGGCCTAAGGGGCTGGAAAAAGTCTCACTGAAGTCACAAGTCATGCTGAGAATTGACATTTTTTTTTTTTATTTCAATCGGTTTTCCAGTGGAGACAGTTGTTTTGTTTATTCTCTGGTTGACTTTGTTGAAATGCAGAAAACAATTGTCAAAATGAAGAGCTATTTGTAGTTTGCCCTCATGTGATCTGCATCTCATTTTCCTTGCAGTGTAGATGGGCTCCTTTTCTTCATTACAATGATCATAAATTTCCCATTAAATTTCCATCTAGGATGCCATCAAGTGATGATGATCATCAAGGGGGGGAATAAAAAGAAATATAGGTCATGATGTTCATTGAATAGGATTACTCTTCAACCTCGAGAATTCATTTAAATTCGTGGTAACTGAGAAAGTCTTCAATTGACAATGATTATTAAGGTATATAATTATTTCACTTGGGCTCCAAATGTTTATCCATTGCTTCCTCTTCTATTTGCAGCTCTGATTTCCTCGGCACTAAGTTCACCATCTTCGACAGTCAGCCCCCCTATAATGGGGCCCACCCCACTAACAGCCGGTCCAGCCGCTGCTTTGCATCGAAGCAGATCTGCCCTCGTTTTCCGGCCATTGGAAACTACGAGATTGGTCAGGTCTCCTACAAATTCAATCTTCTCCGATCAAAGGGTCCAAGAAGAATGCTGTGCGACCTCCACTGCTCCGTTTCAACAGACGCCACGACAAACTCAAGTAAATTTACTACAGGTTCTGATATAGGAGAACCCAATTCCTGTGCAACCACAAGTCTAAGGAATAAGGCACCAAAATGGCACCAACAATTACAATGCTGGTGCTTGAATTTTCATGGAAGGGTGACTGTGGCTTCAGTGAAGAATTTCCAGCTTGTTGCTTCTGTGGACCCCTCCCAACCTGGGGCTCGAGGAGATGATGAGCTTGTGCTCCTTCAATTTGGCAAGGTTGGAGATGATTTGTTTACAATGGATTATAGGCAGCCCCTCTCGGCCTTTCAGGCTTTTGCAATATGCCTCACCAGCTTTGGTACCAAGCTCGCCTGTGAATGAAACACTTCTGATAATACTTCTTTTGCGTGTCTTGGAAGGATCTGTTGTATTTACGTGTAATACTTCTTTTGCGTACCTTGGAGGGATCTGTTGACTTCACCTGTTTCATGTTGAAATAGTTTCTATTTCCATGTTTAAAGCATGGAAAATCACCAATTCCATCTTTTGTTATCTGAAATATGTATAATGTTCTAAGACAGATGGAAATCCACTTGAATTATTGTAAAATTCTTGAAGTCTGCAAATCTTGTCAGGGCCAAAGGCCAATACTTGCATCCATTCTCCTTTCGAAGCTCGTCTTTTAAACGATCGAGTATGAATCGAATTGTGAACTTCCCTTATAATCAGTAAGTGACATTATGCTTGATTTCGATTGACAGCTCTTGTATACTCTGAAGCCAACTGCTGTTCTCCTCATTTTCCTTGAACTTGGTGATTTAATAGTACGGTTACATATTATTAAATCTCTGTTGGATTCTATGCAATGTTCGCAAAATCGAACCAGAATGGATAACCAGACATGGGTATGGAAGCGGTTTAACCGGCCTAACCGGTAAATCGGCTAATTCAACCGCTCTAATCGGATAAGTTTCGGGCGGTCAAAAAATATTGAAAACAATAAAAAAAATACAAAAAAAATCTATTAAAATATGAATGATTAAAACAAAACACATTCAAATGAAGTTGAAAATTAATGAAAAAATGGATTTTAATCCATTTTTTAAGGGTTATTTTTAAAATTTTCAAAAAAAGATGGGAAAACATAAAAGTGAGTATTAATGACCAATTTTTTTTTTTTAATCTTTACCGTAATGTAAAGAGTATTAAAAATGCATTACAAGTCAAATTCTTTATTTTTTAGAATTTTTATATATATTTTTTGAATATTTTTTTTAAAATACCGGTAAATCATTCTAACCGCTCAAAACAGGAACCGGCCACTGGCCGGTTCCGATCTAACTCGGCGGTTAGCGGTTAGATCGGGTGATTTTGAGAATAATGATTCTATGTTGTTTCATCTATTTTGACCAGAGGTGTTGGTTCAAACGTTACGATATATTTGTAATACCTCTCCTTATTTCTTGGTAATTGAATTTGTACCTCTAAATTATAATATATTAATAAATAGATTATTTATTGCAAAAAATTTTTTTGTCTAAAAGTAAAAATAATTATAGTTTGTTATATAAAATTTTAAAAATAATATAAGACAACATAATTCAAATTATAACATAATGGTAAATATATTCTTTTTTGTAACAAAATATATTTTTAAAATAATCTAATACTTTTATTTTATCTTTCTTTTAGTACCTTTTTTTTTTTTGCAACTTCTAACATCTACAATGAAATTGTTAAAAATTCAATAATTTCTAAGATCATGTTTTATTGAACATATTTTTTAATAAAAAATATGTTTAAGTTATTAACATGAAATATCATGTGCAACGTACGTTCATATTACTAGTATCTATTAAGCTAGAAGTAAGGGGTGGACACGTGTCACGAAAATATGAAACGACCCTAATTCTATATAGGTTGTAGAAGACATTCACGAAGCGACCCTAATTCCATATATAGGATGTGGGTGACATTTGCACCTTTAAAGGAATAGATTAAGCCAGAGTTAAGGGACGGACACGTGTCATAGAAATAAGAAGGGATCCCAATTTTATAGAGATTGTAGGACACATTCCAAACTTTAAAGAAAAGGGATAGAATAAGCACTTAATTTAGGATAACTAAATTTGAAACAGAGAGAGCGTATGAATATACACGAGAGAGATATCTCAATATTGTTTCTATATCTGGATATTATTTCTATATCTTAGAGAGAGGGAGAGAGAACATGAGTGTCCACAAGAGAGAAATATTAACATTGTGAGAGAATTTGAGAAGAAGAGATAATATTTCCAAGAGAGAGAATGAGAGATTTTAGGAGAGATGAGAGATTTTCATGGAAGCTTTTGAAGAGTAGAGAAATAGAGAATATTTTAAATAGGATTTTAGGAAACCAAGATTTTAGGAGGATTTATTTCATAAAAATGATAAGTAATTAAAAATTTCTTATTTGTAAATGATAAGCATCATATGATAATAATTTAAATTATTATAGTTATTTTTTTCTAATAATATTAGTAACAATATTATTAAGGGAAAATTACAAATAACCCCTAACAGTAGACTTTTTTTGCAACTTACCCCCAACCAAATATTTTCTCATTTTTTACCTCAAATGTAACTTTCCTAACAAATACCCCTCAAGTCATAAGAAAAGTAAAGTGAAGACCAAAATACCTTTTGGAAAGCATGTGGTACAGCACAAAATGAAGGCGATTCGACACTTTGCCTCTAGAAAGCATGCAGTCCGGCACAAAATAGGAGCGGTCCGACACAAAATGAGGCGGTCCGATACTTTGTTTCTAGAAAGCATGTGGTCTGGCACAAAACAGGGGCGGTCCGACACTTTGTTTCTGTAAAGCATGTGGTCTGGCACAAAACAGGGGCGGTCCGACACTTTAGGCACGCGGTCCTGCACAAAATGGGGGCAGTCCGACACATTGGGCTTTTGGAAAGCATGCGGTCCGACACAAAATAGGGGTGGTTTGGCACTTTGGGCATAAGGTCCGACACAAAATGGGGGCGGTTCAGCACTATGGGCATTTTCGTCATACAAAATGACTTTTTTGACTTGGGGGGTATTTGCTTGGAAAGTTCAATTTGATGTAAAAATTACTAAATGTTTTTTGCTGGAGGTAAGTTGTCTAGAAAGTTTTATTTTGGGGTTATTTTTTTTTTTTGTAATTTTAATTGTAATATACTAATTATAACACATATGTCTATGTAAATTAATAATGATGAAGCTATGATAATTAGTTTCAAATAATTATAAATTTCTTATGATTTACATTATAAATATAATTTTACTTATAACAAATGTATAATATAAATAAATTTCTTTTAAGAGAAATAAATATACAATACTTCTACATTAAATATTTATGCGTTACTTTAGAATGGGACCTAAACAATTTACTCACATTGTGAAATAAACGTCAAATATTCATTCACAAAGCATAAAAAAGAGAATCAAATTTTCTCTCTCAATATATTATTTCTCATAATATTTGTAATCAATATTCCACAATTTCTTTTGATAAGACCTATAAAGCGTTAAGTAATGGTAGATTTCAACTTTTTATAAAAGTAGAATGACATTTTGGAATAGTATCTTGAACTTTATTTATATAGTGTTTTTGTTTTTTAGCAAATATTTCAACTTCATCCTTTATGGAAATAATAAAAGTGTCCATTGTCTTGTAGTGATATTTACAAAAATACCCTTACTTAATGAGCAAGATATCACAAAAAATAAACTTTTTGTTTTTTTTTAAAAAAAGGGATCACACACTTAAACAATCCAATTAAAGCGTACCTCCAAGTTTTATCATAACATATAATTTTTGTGTAAAATATTCTTTGGATTATCTGAAAATCTATTTTTTTATCTAATTATAAATTTTAAACTCGAAAAATAGTTAAAATCAAGTAGATCTATAACTATATAAAAATCTTGAAAATAGACGGTTTAGATAATGTGTTGCAAGGTGCATTATTTCTAGGACTCAATCTTTTTTTCTTCTATATTCATACATCTCGATGTTGAGATGATTAATTAGAGGGTTTTTCAACATTAAAACGACATTTTTTGATGGGTTTTTGAGGTACATCTGTTATTCTACATTTTAAAGTTGTAACCTTATATAAATATTTTTCTTTTTAAAAATAAACCATGAAGTTAGTAAATCCCTATTCACAACTCATACTATAATTAACCTTTGTAATTTGAGGGGTTGTGAAC